CAATCACTTTAACAGGTCAAAAGGTTACAAGGATAAGTTGGTCACCAAGGGGGAGTGCTATCCATAATCATGGAAAAGCACCTTTGCTATAAATTGTAGGCCCCTTTAATGTTTCTAGTTGGACTGTTGGTTAAGTTGTCCCATTGGCCATGGAGTCCAAGTCTTCGAGATTGCTCTTGTTTCAGGACCTTTCAGCCCAATTAACATAGAAACATAGGCGGATCTCTAAAGTGTGTTCAGACTTTTTTAAGCACTTACATTTGCTGTAATCAAGGTAACTCACGATGGGACAAGATTGCACTGTGACACTGAACCAAGCAGATACCACATTCTAAACAATATTGTAAAAGGCAACTTAACATCAGACTGTGACTAGATGACCACAAAGATTCGAGAAACATTCCCATTGTTCCATATTCAAGTTTAACACCTTGAAGCCTTGTTTATTGATCAGTGCTGATGGTATCCCATTTCCCTTCTAAGAGTTTTGGTGCATTATTGACCTAGTTTAACTTTTTGTTCAAAATATGTGACAATGGTAGATGGGCAGCTTTCTCTGTGTAATCTGATCATGATTCATTTTCTGTTTTCTTCCTGAGTGCTAGCCTATTCTGTAAAATCTTCTGTATTTCATTATCTCCATATCAAATCCAGAGTTGCTATAGAATCATTAAGTTATTAAGTATCTATAATTTACTCATGCAAGAGTATTCTTGTGATATAACTGTCAATGGGTAACTTCAGAGATGTACCTGAGTATTTGGCACCCACAACAGAACTGTCTGTTGGTACTCCCCTAAATTAAAAAAATAATAATAATAATGTTGCTCACACTGTGTCTCTTCCCACCACTCCTTGTGTCTTTCCTGACCCCCTTACTCTCTTGCATGTGTCAACTCCCTTTGTGTCTCCCCGAGTCCATACCATCTTCACTCCATAGCTTGCCTCCTCTTACCCTCAATTACCTAATTTTCTGTCTCTCCTTACCCATTATGTGTCACTTCTTAGCTCTTATGTCTTTGCATGCTTTTTATCCATCAACTACCTCAAGTCTCTTCTTACAACCGTATCTCCTTGTGTCAAATGCAAAAGAATAATAAGCGCTCTCTTCTCAGGGCATGTGTCAGATACTCCCTTTGTAGAAATACTGGCCAGCAGAGTAACTTAAAAAAAAAAGAGAAACAAAAATACAAATAATGGTACAGTATGTATGAACGATATAATTCCACAAGAACAAAGGTGTTATATTCACACTCACACTTTGAGGAGCTATATCAGCTCGCTCTTAACACCGAGCTGATATAGCTCCTCAAAGTGTGAGTGTGAATATAACACCTTTGTTCTTGTGGAATTATATCGTTCATACATACTGTACCATTATTTGTATTTTTGTTTCTCTTTTTTTTTTAAGTTACTCTGCTGGCCAGTATTTCTACAAAACGTATGTACATTTTCTGATTTTTAGCGCTGTATCTCCTTGTGTGTCTGTTCTTACCCTCAATCCCTTTAGGGGCCATTGCAATCTTCCCACCTTATGTGTATCACCTTAACCTACCCTCCCACCCCACACTTACATTGTCCCAGATTGTAGTATACCAGAGCAGGAAAGTAGCAAAGGATCTTCATGTTGCTCTCCGTGGACTGTCAGTTCGACTCTAGGCTCGTGTGCAAACAGCATGCAAGGTGAATGGAGAGCAGGTGGTACATGATGTATAGGGATGTATATGGTTACTATTGGTGAGGATGATGTCTTACATAGAGATTTATGTATGGTTGCTATTTGGAAGGCTTATGAATGAGGAGAAACATATTTAGGAAGACTTAGGTTAGTGTTTAGTGGCGGTTTTAAGTTTTGTGGTGTTAGGAGACAAAATGGCCACAAGATAAATGCAAATGTGTATTCCTCACTCTATAGTGCCCTAGTCACTGTTTAGGTGACTGGGCCTCTCTTCCAGGATTAAAATGGTGAGTTGAACTTACCTTTCCACCCTCACAACCATCATTTCCTGGAGTTCCACTCAGTCTTTTTGGCTGAGATCATCGAGATTGATGATCTCAGCCAATCCAATGCTTTCCAATAGTGCACATGACACTATGACAGCCAATAGTGCCAGCAATGAAAACATTGTGGATCCTGCAGAAGAAGTGGTCTGGTTGCCGACAGAGTCCCTTTAAGATTTATAGTACAGTAAGAGTTGGTGATGGTTAGAATTTAGGAGGCTTGACTGCAGTGGGTAGGGTAGGGTAGAGTTAGTAACAATTAGGGGTAAGGCAAGGGGTAGAAGAGAAAAATAGACAGGAAGTCAGTACAATAGAAGGTAGAACATGTAGAAGAGAGATGGCCTACAGAAGTATTATACAAAAGGTAGTCCCTAGGTTGTAGAATTACAACTCATACAATGTTTTTTTTAGTACTTTAGTTGCTGGAGTTGACTTTGAAACCATTGTGCCTTTGGGAAAAGCTACATTTTAATTTTCTACTTTCAACTGACATTTGCTTAATTACATTTAGAAAAAAAAATGTACTCGGTCTTTGTCACAGAAATAATATTCTTCACTGGCTACCCTAGTCGTATCTTTTTAAATCTATCTATGCTTGCAATGTGCACAGCAAGAGATCCCCAAAAAAGCAAAATAAGTGAAATAAAATTAGATTCCAAAAATGGAAATGATGTGATGTCAATTTCTTCTTATACAGATGCAATCCAACAGTAATAAATTGTGGGTAACATTGTGTCACAGTATAATGTAGGAGAACATGTGTTGTTAAGTGGCACCTTCGTGCTTTTTCCTTTCACTTTCCAATTCCTGTTCTTATTTATATTTATTATCTTCTCTTCCTTGAGCTGGATCTCAGTATCTGGGAACTTGTTCTTCTCTGTCCATGATTTGCCTTCTCTGGGATTCTTTAGACTGGTGGAAATTTTCTGCCCGTTGCCAAAGCCCACACTTCTCATAAGAACAAGTAATCTCTACTTTTCTTATATATAACTCAAAAACTAACAACATAAAAGCAAAATCTCAAATTATAGTACTGGCAGTAAAAATTTTGACTGCCTGCAATTGGAAAGCCAACGTGGTGGAGGACGAGGTTGTCATTTAGTTATACCAAGTATAATTTTTTTGAGGGCATTTGAAGTAGCGTGGGGACATTTCCTACTGATGATCGATCACAACCCGCATAGAAAAGGCAACTTAAAAAGTATGAGGGACCTGTATCTTATGTATGAAGATTACTATTGTACAACTACAATTAAAAAAAATCTCTGTATTGAACACTTATTGAAAACCAATAAAAATGAAGACACAAAAAAATAAATAAGAAGAAGGGATTAACTAAAAAGATTATTCATTTAATAAAAAAAAATGTCAAAGTGACATGAGTGCTTTATTAAAGGAACACTATAGCAATAGGGACACAAGCATGTTATCCTAATGCTAGAGTGTTAGCCTACATATTTGGATTCCTCCCCAGAACAATTTTTTTAAAACAATGTTTTATTTACTTGTAGTGCCCTGGTGCACCACCACACCTCAGAGTCATGGATGAGGTTTTCCCTGCTTGGGAAGCAGGGTAAATTAGTGAAGACCATCGGAGGAGTGCAAGCCGATAGGAAGTGAGTGATAGAGAAGTGTAACCATCACCTCTGAAAGGAGATTGCAGTGGGGTAGTGGTGGATTAAGTAAATGCCTTACAGGCTCCTTTAAACTGTAGTGATTCTGGTGCCTAAAGTGTACCTTTAATTATAGCATTAGCCCTGGTTATTATTAATTATTACAGTGCATGAATGCTTAGGGAATTTCCCATGACACTCCTTAATGGTTGTCTATGTATCTGTGATGAACTGGATTCATCATGGGTTCTTGGAGTGGCATACTTGCCAGCTTCCTGCCCTGTGACTATGGCCCCTGTGTTAAATCCTAGTTAAAACCACTGTGTGTGCCTTTTTTTACCTGTATGGCCACAATTTGAACTTTCGAAGTGGCACTTCGAACTCGCGAACTCCTGAAGCCATTTGAAGTGCCATTTGACCATGAGGTGGCGGCCATCTTGTTCGCATGAGCCAAAACCGCGAATAGTCTTCAGCGGCACTTAGCCGCGATGCTATAAAACTATTTTCGGCTATGGGACCATGCCTGCGGTCGGTAAAAAATATGACTTCAATAAAATTTCTGAACCCCTAATCTGATCTGGGTGATTTTTGGATATGTTGGTCACCCAAATCAGGGCTATCAGGGGATGTAAGATTTGTGGGGATATTGTGTGTTTTGGGGTTTTGTAAAATATATGTTCTTTTTCACTTGGAGATAATTGAGTTGATACAGTAATTAACTCAATTATCTCCCAGGCAGAGGGGTGGGATTGTATGATTGTATGTGTTGGAGAGCCTTAGATTGTAACTCTAATGTTATTGATTTACAAGTTTGTGTCCCTGTCCCCAACAAGGTCCATGTGGGCGTACAATTTGCTTGGGGATTGTCATAAAAGGCCAGTGTGGCACCATTAAAATTGAGTTCCTGCTTAACCCTCAACACGTAGCCTGGTCTCGTGATTGTAGGGAACCTGCTATACAGCTATACCACTAGCTTTTGTAAGAGCTTCACAGCTATACTCTCTTGGAGGAGAGGACTTCCCACGGAGTCCCTGGATCGAGGAGTTTGGTCTACGACGGGAAGGGACAGCGAGACCCCCAACCAAGCTGCGGCAGTTTGTGGGGTCTACTGTGCTTATTTAGCTCGGTGCGGTGCTTATGGTCCTCAGCGTCAGCTAGGAAGCATCGATTGGTGTAGGTACCCAGTCGGGGTGCCAGGCGGTCTGTCACGGTATCCAAGGAACAGTAATCCACAAACATCTTCAGGGGCATGGTTGGTTGAAGCAAAAAAGTTAATCAGCCATCATTAGTTATACAGGTGAAATTGGAATGGCTAATTAAAACAATTACATTATATCAAACAATGAAATCAGTTCATCAGTGACACATCATGAACTATAAGAATGATTCTGTCATGTTTCAATAAAGTTTTATTAAAATCAACTTTTGGTAGAATATTGTTTTATCATATCAGTTCTGTCACCCTGATGTAGAGACTGATAACAGGTTGCTAAATAAATACACATTGTTTATTTGTGAACATGTCTAGTGATCTGCTTTGTTTATTACAGAGGTAAAAAAATACACATATATAAGATGAGCAGGGCACTGCTGATGTTGATTCATGGGATGGGTGCATGTAAATTATATTGGGATACTGACAGATATAGAAATTCCAGTCCATGGTACTAATGATGGGTCTAATTAGAAAATCTTACAGGCAGAAAATGCTAAAACAGACATACCACCCAAGGGTCATGAATATGGTGAGACTCCTGTTTTAAAAAAAAAAAAAAAAATATTTCTATAATGTTCTACTTGTCAGGCCCACCAGAGTAAATCTAATTTCTACCAATTTTCCTCAAGAACTTGATATGTGAAAGCGTATGACTATGACAAGGGTGTGTTGGTGAAGCACTGGGTGGCCAGTGTCTGATAAGGGGGCATTGTTGCCGTAAAAGACATATAATCTTGGTGAACTTGCAAGCCTAGCTGATGCACAAAAGTTGACCGCTAATTGGTTGCCAATATAGACCATATTTATTTTCTTATTAAGTTAATGCTATTATGGGTACAGATCATACAAAAATAGTCTTCTGTTAAATTTATTTATACTTGCTGTGATTAATATAAAACATTCTGTTAAAATAGCAAAGATTATTATTTTTGAAAATTAAAAAGCAAAAGTGACAGTTGCAGGTTGTGTTTTTAAGCAAATGCATACTGCATGTGAAAGTAGAGTTGCACAGAGCACTTTCGACTTTAAGTTGACTATTTTATGGTCAGCCAGTACAGAATAGATTTTGTATGCCTTCTAAGTCCACACACTTCAATTCCTCTGAACAGCACAGTAGGGTAAGAGAATGTTTAGAGTAATTAAACTAAAAATATATGTATTTTTTTTTTAGTCAGTCTCAATGTCAGTACTCAGTGAGCATGGGTCAGGAGCTGCAGCTCCGTTAGCCCCTATGTTAATCCAGATTTGATTTCTACAAAATGTTGAAAAGAATGGGATTTAACATCAACCCCAAATTGAGTTGAGAGGGAGATAAAGTAAAAATGTAAAATAGTAACAATCAACTTTCATGGAGACGAAACAGAAAATAATCACATCAATACTTTCTTTATAGAAAGATGTCTGCTTCTACACAGTAATGTTGCAAATCTAAACGGACATAAATATACGAAGAATCACTGACTTCAAGTTCTTACCAAATTCCCATTTGCTAATTAGATGATTTACATTGATTTAATTTAATAAGCAGTGGAGTCAGTAACGGGTTATGTGTGTAAACATGAAAATTGTATTCTTTAGAAGCAAGAATGTATACTGTAAGTTTTTTGAACACATGAGAAATAATCGATCTTCACTCTAGTTTTCAAAGTTCCAGTCTTCTGGGTATATAGTTTGGTTGTCCTTGCTTGGCACCTTGTTGGATGGGAATATCTCCCCAAAATGATGTTCTATGTACATTGACACAGGGTAGAAGATCTCAAAATGAGCTAGCTAGCTACCCATCACCACCTTCATATGGTTTGCCAAGGCTTGCCAATAGACTGGATGTGTTCTTTAGCTTTCATTCTGAGGGCAGCTATGCTGGTATTTCTAGGGTCTATTTCTTCCATCTGATATTTGTCCAGAAAGTTGCTTCCGCATTGGTAAGGTGGAGGTGGTCCCATGGCTCCTAATGGTTGTAAGGCATGTCCCACTGGTGCAGTGTTCATGAAGGGGGGAGGTGTGTAACTGCCTGGTAGGCTTTGTGGGGTTGTAACAAACCCTGGGAGGCTTTGTAATGGGGTTGTGTTGGACATTGGTGATGTAAGCCAAGAGTCCAGTGGTAGACTGCTGCTGATTGCACTTAGGCCAGAGGACTGAGGAGATCTATTAAAGGAAAGGATGGGTGAATCTTGTAATTTCATCGAGGTCACCTCCAACTTCTCCTGCCTTCTCCATTTAGCTCTTCTGTTCTGAAACCACACCTGAATAACAAAAAAATAGATATGAGTCTCATTGAATCACAGGAATAGAAACAGACATGTATGTCTAATATAGTATAAGAGTACCAGAACTTTTCAACTGTAGACATGTTTTGTACTAGTTACTCCTAAATGCAGGTTTATTTGTGTGTTTTGGGTGTTTCCTTACTAGCGTTTATTACTTAGATAAAACCAAAGGAAACTAGGCATGGATCATGATATCATTAATATAGGTATTAAAAATTAGGTCCAGATGTGCCTTCTCAAGATAACAGTTATCAAAAATCCACAAATTTGACACAAAGGGATATGACTAATGGTATTCTTAGATAGTCTCCACGATTGGTCCCAAATAGTCACTTCATAGAGATTTCGTGCTGGCTACGAAAATAAAAAAAATTACAGAGAACTGAAAGGGCTCACTTGACAATAGTCAATAGAGTAATGAAATGGCTCTTCACCAATCCAACCAGCGGTGTTAACCAGATGGCTGTGTTCTAAGATGAAAGCCGGCAAGTGCAATAGTGGAAAAATTGACAGGACAAAAACCTAGAAACTCCAGTCCTAATGAAGGGAAGAATTAATGATCTACATTCTTCCTTAGGGGAAAAAAGAGAAATTAGATAAGTATGAAGAATTAGCAGTAAACTCTCATGTGTTTCACCTGACACCGTGGATTTAGTAATTGCAAGAAGAATATAAAGGCTTTCAACTTTTGGCCAACTTTTCACTGAATTCCAAATTGACAACAAATTTGAGGGAGAGGAATCCCTTTTTATGGCAATTGCACAACAAACTTGCAAATAATAGGAATGAAGGATTCTCTGCTCTGCCATCTTAAATCCTAATAAACTTGAGGAAGCTGAGACATACACAGTAAGCATATTAATCATAAAACTGAAATGTCTTCTCAGGTTGCAAGTTGCAACAGTACCACAATGGCCTTGATTTCTTTTGTATGAATCAGCATCAGAAATAATTTTAATCTCTTACAAAAAAAACATTCTAATAATTTAACTACAAAAATGTCCATAGATGTTTATGGTGACTTCCACGGATAAATCATTTGAATAGTATTTGTGCCTCTAGATCGGGTCTAACTTGATCTAACTTTCTGGGCACCTCTATTCGAGATAGTGACACCAGTCAGAAAGCAATTTAACCCCTTAAGGACCAAACTTCTGGAATAAAAGGGAATCATGACATGTCACACATGTCATGTGTCCTTAAGGGGTTAAAGGGACACTATAGTCACCAGAACAACTACAGCTTATTGAATTTGTTCTGGTGAGTAGAATCATTACCTTTAGGCTTTTTGCTGTAAACACTGTCTTTTCAGAGAAAATGCAGTTTCTACATTACAGCCCAGGGATAACTTCACTGGCAACTCCTCAGATGGCTGTTACAGGTCCTTCCTGGGTCATGGCTGCCTAAAATGCATCCACACATTCAGTATATCCTCCCTCTGCATGCAGACTGAACTTTCCTCATAGAGATTCATTAATTCAATTCATCTCAGTGAGAAGATGCTGATTGGCCAGGGCTGTGTTTGAATCATGCTGGCTCTGCCCCTGATCTGCCTCCTTGTCAGTCTCAGCCAATCCTATGAAGAAGCATTGTGAGTGGATCAGGCTATCACTTCTGATGATGTCAGCAGACTGCTTGTTTTTCTGAGGCAGACAGGGCAGAGCCAGCAGCTTCAGGCTTGAATACAGTAAGATATTTACTATATTTATGGAGGCATGAGGGGCCCAGGGGGGCTAGATGGTGGTTTTAACACTATAGGGTAAAGAACACAAGTTTGTGTTCCTGACCCTATAGTGATCCTTTAAGAATAATTTTTAGTCTCTAAATCTATAACTTTACCCACAGCCAGCAGCTCATTGTATGTGGGGATGTTTAATTAGATCTTTATAACACTCAATATGACATTTTAATGGCCATCTGCTTGGAATTCGATTCACTGTGTGTGAGGGATTGGTAGTTACATTTTGATGAGCAACCCTTGTTAATAAGGGGATGTTCTTTAATTTTCCTTTGATTAATCACATTAACTGTTTGCTTGTTGGCTTGGGAAGCCAGTGAGACTATTAATTTATTCAGAAAACATTTCGAGATTTGTTTGGAAATGAATTCTTGCATTGGATACAATGTCATTTTCAGGGTTTTGACATGCTCGCTGGTTGAGCAGTGGTCCACGAAAGAATCTCTAGGGAGATATATTTACCTGAAACTCCTTGTCATTGGCTGCACCATCTTTGTGTTAGTTCTGTTTTAGACTCATAGAGTTTTCATCACTTCTGTACTGTCTGCCATGCATGCACAAAAGTGCAATACAGAGGTTTATGGAAGATTCCACAACACCATGGACTTTTCTGCACAATGTGTGAAAAAATAGCTTTTTCCAGCGCCGTTGCAACTTGCAAGTGGCTGATATTTCTCATGTTTTGTCAAGCTTGAAAATTATCATAAGACAAAGTAGTCTGTACTTTGTCTTATGATATCCTTTGGTTGTGTCAGCATTTGTGTTGTAATCTAACACTGTCATTATGAATTATTTCAATGATAAAATGATTCTGTTTTTGCAAAATACTTTCATGTGATAGAGTCCTATTGAGGGTTAATTCTGGTATTTTGCAAACAATGAGGGTCATTTCAGATAAGCCACATAATAAATTTAATTAATTTCTTCCAAAAGTCTGGGTCCACATTGCTCCAAACATATTTCCCCAAAAATGGCTCCTGCCATTTACAACTTTAGAAACTTTCTTTAGTAAATCAACAAAAAAACTAACAGAGTTAATCACCAAAGTGAGAATTCAAAGTGAATTTCAAATGTAAGGACAAAATAGCCGAACTGGATAAATTCTCTAAGTCAGGTATGCTTCCAGTTTGGCTTCTTAGGTCTAAAATGTAACATTCACTTTGAATTCTCACTTCAGCAAATAATCCAGTGAAATTCTTGGCTATACTCAGCCATCTGGTAAAGGCACTCACCACCCTGTACATGATCAATGGTAAATACACACCCTGTACATGATCAATGGTAAATATACACCCTGTACATGATCAATGGTAAATACACACCCTGTACATGATCAATGGTAAATATACACACCCTGTACATGATCAATGGTAAATACACACCCTGTACATGATCAATGGTAAATATACACCCCGTACATGATCAATGGTAAATACACACCCTGTACATGAGCAATGGTAAATAAATACCCAGCCTATTAATGGCAGATACACAAACTGCATCTGTTAAATACACACTCTCCATATACTATACCACGACTCTGTATAAGGGAAACATACCCTGCATATAGTAAATATACACACTATATACAGTAAATATACACTCACTATATAGTAAATATACAGTATATATATTTTAAATATACACTCACTATGAAGTAAATATACACACTATATACAGTAAATATACACTCTATATATGGTAAATATACACACTATATATAATATATATGCACACACACTATATATAGTAATTATACACACTATATACAGTAAATGTACATACTATAAACAGTAAATGCACACTCACTATATAGTAAATGTGCACACTATATATAGTAAATATACACTCTATATATATAGTAAATATACACTAACTATATAGTAAATATACACACTATATACAGTAAATATACACTCACTATATAGTAAATATATACACTATATATGGTAAATATACACTCACTATTTAGTAAATATATACACTATATACAGTAAATATACACTCACTATATAGTAAAAATACACACTATATACAGTAAATGTACGCACTATATATAGTAAATATACACTCTATATACAGTAAATATACACAATATATATAGTTAATATACACAATATATATAGTAATTATACACTCACTATGTAGTAAATATACACACTATATACAGTAAATGTTTACACTGTATAGTAAATATACACACTATATACAGTAAATATACACACTATATATAGTACACATACACTCATTATGTAGTAAATATACACACTATATACAGTAAATATACACTCACTATATAGTAAATATACACACTATATATAGTAAATATACACTCACTATGTAGTAAATATACACACTTTATATAGTAAATATACACACTATATACAGTAAATGTACACTCACTATGTATAGTGAATATACACTGTATAAAGTAAATATACACACTATATACAGTAAATGTACACTCACTATATAGTAAATATACACTCTATATAGTAAATATACACACTATATACAGTAAATATATACTCACTATGTAGTAAATATACACTCTATATATAGTGAATATACACACTTTTTATAGTAAGCATACACTCTATATATAGTAAATATATACTCTCTATACAGTAAATATACACTCTATATATAGCAACTGTACACATTATATATAGTAAATATACACATTATATACAGTAAATATACACACTATATACAGTAAATATACACTCTATATATAGCAACTGTACACATTATATATAGTAAATATACACACTATATACAGTAAATATACACACTATATATAGTAAATATACACTCACTATGTAGTAAATATACACACTATATACAGTAAATGTTTACACTGTATAGTAAATATACACACTATATACAGTAAATATACACACTATATATAGTACACATACACTCATTATGTAGTAAATATACACTCTATATACAGTAAATATACACACTATATATAGTAAATATACACTCTATATATAGTAAATATACACACTATATACAGTAAATATACACACTATATACAGTAAATATACACTCACTATATAGTAAATATACACACTATATATAGTAAATATACACTCACTATGTAGTAAATATACACACTTTATATAGTAAATATACACACTATATACAGTAAATGTACACTCACTATGTATAGTGAATATACACTTTATAAAGTAAATATACACACTATATACAGTAAATGTACACTCACTATATAGTAAATATACACTCACTATGTAGTAAATATACACACTTTATATAGTAAATATACACACTATATACAGTAAATGTACA